GCTACAAATTTTAGTGCTGTCTGATCAAGCAGCATTTGCAGCTATCTTACCTCTACAATCATTGGTTATTTTTTTTACAGACTTTTTATTTTATTCATCATCACCAACGGCATATTTAGCATTTGAATGGTTTACTCACGTATCTAACTGTTTAAAGGGGAACTCTACTCGTATCAAGCCAAGCTAGGGGCTCATATTTATAAGCAGTATCATATTTATTATTCTTGAAGGCGCCAATGATTTTTAAATCTAAATTTAAATTTAATTTACATAGGACTGTTATTAGATCGTCTGGTCACTTTATGGGTGTTGGTAAACTCACATCAACATTTTTTCCTTCAATAACAACGTGGAAATCTCTTACTAATATGCCTTAATAATTGTTTGTGATTTGATACCAATGAAAATAAAAGTTGACATTGAATCGATGAAAGATTACAGTAGCTTTATGGGCTATTGTCTTTGTACTACACTCCTACGCTTATAGCAGTGGCAAAGGTCAGGACAGCTTCCGTCATACAGGTGGGTGGTGATATGACGTCACTGATACGTGACAAAATGGCGGAAAGTATTTATTGGAAGACGCGCCAACTAGTCGCCTGGTACATTTGCGTTAGCCGGTTTCTAGGACGAATAGAAAATGGTATATTTTTTATTTTTGTATCAGCTTCTGCTAGTGGCTTCGTCCATATTTTTGTGGCCTATAAAGCCTATGTGTTATTTCAGATCACATTCAACGACTGTTCTTAATTTCATCCTTATTACTTCAGCCATTTTGCCGTGATTGAGTAACAAACATAGGTACACATGAACTGACTTTCGTTTTTATATGTAATACTAGCTTCTGCCCGCGACTTCATACGCGTAATCCATTTTTCCCGTCCCCGTTCGTGATTTTCGGTAAAAAGTAAAAAAAAAAATGTTGGTTAAAAATTGTCCTATGTCGGTCTCCTAGCTCTAAGCTACCTCCCTACAAATTTTCAGCCAAATCTATTCTGGCGTTCTTGAGTTATAAGTGGTGTAACTAACACGACTTTCTTTTATATATATGTACTAGCTGTTACCCGCAACTTCGTCCGCGTGAAATAACGACTTCTGTATAAATTGGGTTTTTTAAATTAGTCTTTGTCAAGGTATATTCTACGGCTGTACAACTGGAACAAATATGATATTTGTTCCAGTTGTACAATCGATTCAGTACCTAGGTTATATTTATTGAGAAATGAATTTATTTTCGTGGTTTCTAAAATAAACAATCCCATAGAGGTTTTACCCGTACAGTGCCCGTCTCGTGAGGTTTCATTATTCTATGTTTGCAAATCAATGTTGTATCGCATTTCAATCAAATAGATATAGTGATTTTAACAGCACAGTTCCCGGTTTCGTGGGTTTTTCGGGTTAAAAACTTTTAGATGTCCTTTCCCGGGTCTCAAACTATCGCTGTACCGAATTTCACCAAATAGGTTCAATGGTTTAAAAGGTAAGAGCCCTCTTTATTTCAACGTCCTTGGTCCTGGTTTTTTAGTGCATAGTTTCCGTCATTTTGGGTTTTCCTCTCTCCTATAATGTGACCTGATATGTACCGGTGCGACGTGCGTTACTATCGCAAACATTTAAATGAAAAATAGGTATTCTGATATTAGGTTAGTTACATATGATACATGTACTTTAATGTTGATATTAATGTCCTCTATAAGACTTAATACATCCCTTGGCTCTATTGTCCATAATTTCCACAGCGTAATCAATACCAATAATATAAGGAGTTTTTTTGGTAGTTTTTCACACATCGGGTTGTCATTACCTAAAGGAGATTTTTTTTGAGGTCGGAAAATCATCCAATCACTTCTCCCGCCTTGGGTTAGGTAAGAGGGAGTGACAGATTCTTACTGACTAAAATCCACTCCGTTCCTACTCCTGCTCGTCGAGCCGGAGCCCGTCAACTCGTTAGGCCTCCCGCGGCACTGTATCGAGCATCAGCCCTACTGGGTTCCATCTATGATGGTGTCATGGCTCTGTAAGGCGCGCGCCGTATGCACGGGACTGGTTCTGGTCGGGTGACGAGCTACCCTTGCTCTTCGTCTACAGACCCGCACTTACGGTGGCCGGCCGATATCCGACGCCCAGAGTGTCTCCCGCGACGGCTGGGGCGTGAGGAAGTTCATTCCCTCACGCGCTCCGCTTTCTCCTTGGCAAGCATAACTGCTTCGCAGAAGGATGCGACTGCATCCCAATCCCCCTCGCTCCATGGCCTGAACCAGAGCCGAACGGGAGAGGTCACCGTTTCCTACATCCCAGAGAACACGGCGGTGCTCAGCCCAAGCAAGGTACACCGCCACGGTATGCTCCACCGTGTTCTCCGGGCGGTTCTTGCATTGATGGCCTCTTTAAAGCCACTTTTAAAGAGGGGACTTTCCGCTGCAATGACAGCGAGCCCAGCCCTCGGTTTACTAAAGGAGTGTTTCGCTGTGTAAGTGAGGTTATCGGAGGCCCAATTACCCCTCCCCCAGCCCCCCCAATCCCTGACAATCCTCAAATTACCAATTCCCAAAAGACCGGTAACGCACTTCTAGCACTTCTGGTGTTACAGGTGTCCATGGGCGGCGCAGATTGCTTACCATCAGGAGATCCGTCTGCTCGTTTACCGGCTTATGCCATAAACAAACAGCAAACTATCATAGTGAATTTGGCCTTGACGGTCTAAAATGAAAAGGACTAATATTATTTTTTAGCTATGTGCATTTAGCTAGTTTTTTTGATATACATATAAAAAATACGAATTCAAGTAAACTGAAAATATTTTATTCGTGGTTTTATCTCCTTAGACTGCTGTCAACCTCTTTGCATACCTTAATATTAATACCATAGTATAAAAAAAATCTATGACACATTGACTTTGTAAACTCACTTGTCACACAAATGTCAGATGACTTAAGAAATGTATACTAATAATATAAATTTGTATGTGCTTGTTTGTTTGTTTGTCCGTATTTCACGACAGAACGGAGTCAGGAAGGTTTTTGATTTGAGATAGTTGAAAAGATGGAGAGTTTTTCTAACCCCCTTCCACTTCCGTGAAACAGAGGTGAAAGTTTGTATGGGGTATTTTGCAATTTTCAATGTGGAAAGCTAACAATTGGTATGCGGGTTATTTGTGACCAGCATAGAATCGTGCATCATTTCATTTTTTTATTGTAAATCCTTCCCTCACCCCATTAAAAGAACGCGAGAGAAGCCGCAGACAGAGGCTAGTCTATGAATAAATTGTATTCAGTCAATGAATTCGTATTTTGTCTTTAAAATCCCTGATCCCTGATGCAGCTGAATACTAATATTATTCCTTGAAAACCCACAGAACTTCATTTTATATGTTGATGCCAAAATATATTATGAAGTAGGACGCCATAACAATTACAAATCATTAGGTTGTTACCTGTCAGATATCCGTTTTCAGGTTTTCAGATAAATCGTAATAATTATTCTTAAAAATCGACATAGTGAGTCGAAATTTCAAAAACGCTAGGACAAATGTTTTATTATTTTTTATCAAGTGCTTAAATATAAAGTTTCATGGTTTTATCTTTAAAAATTATGAAATCCCATACAACTTCCCCCCTCTTTTAACCCTTACAACCCCTTTTTCGCGATAAAAAGTAGCCTATGTTTTATCTCGGGGTCTAGAATATCTGTATACCAAATTTCATTCAAATCCGTTCAGTAGTTTTGGCGTGAAAGAGTAGCAGACAGACAGACAGACAGAGTTACTTTCGCATTTATAATATTATATATATATATTATATATAATATATATATAATATATAATATATAAAATAATTATATAATATATATGTATATATATATATGTATAATATATATATATATATAGTTAGGATTATGAAAGGTATAAACATAAGAAGCAGTATTCTGTGATTCATCAATAAAATCCTGAAAGAAGATTCACATCTGTCTTTTTGCTTTCCATTTTGTTTCAAAATATACCTAGAAATGAACTGATATAAAAATACCTTTAGTCATTGCACCCCTAGCGTGCGGCGCATCGCGTTTCGCGCGCGCCTCAAAGAGCCATCAGACCACCACGGGTGGGGTCCAACAGGGCTGATGCCAATACGGAGCCGCGGAGGACTAAACGGGTTGCCGGGGCTCCGGCTCGAAGGCAGGAGTAGGAACGAGGTGATTTTTAGTCAGTAAGAGTCTGACACTCCCTCCCGCCTCACCTAGGAGGGAGAAAAAAAGTCATTGCACCCTGAGAAGAATAATAGCAATAAAGATTTCGTATAGAAGATTTTTTCATCATTTCGATTTTGCTCAGAAGCCTTAACAAAGCCAACTTCAAATTACGTGTAATGATTTGAAACCTTCCTGGAGGGAATATCGATAAAAGTTTATCAATTGCCTTTCATGGGCGTCGTTGTTTGAACAAATGACTTATCTTTAGTCTATTAGATACTTTTTCATTGCTTTTGTTTGCTTATTTTTTTTGTTTTATCTTCCTTTTCATATAAAAACATAACGTCGCTCCTTTTAATCCTCAAAATAGAAGTAAAATAATATAAAGTAACGTCCATTTTTCAGCAGAACATTAATAGACCTATGTGATAAAGGTGACAATATTCTTTTCATAATCTATTATTCGTAAATAAATCTTATTATAGCTTTTTTCTTTGTTATCTCCATAATATAAAGGCTCTATCTTATATCAGATTAATTTATACCATTCACGAATACTTATACACTACTAAATAATGAAAATTTTTATTTTACGGATTCTACATACCGGTATATCGACCTTCAGCCACAATATAACCTACAAAATATAGGAAAACTTCTAACACTAAAGCATAGGCATTCTGAAGTACATAAATTCATCATGCGAGCAAATGAGAACTAGGTTTTAGGGATTACGTCCCAGTCAATAGGAACAGAGTAGTACCTAAATATAACAGATGATGGAACCTCAATAGTACGGGTATGCCCGAAATATGAACGAGGAACTTTTTGGTACCAACATTTTTGGCGTATTTTTTATTATTCCTGTGATATTGGTATCGTGAGCGTTGTCGCGTGGGTTTGAATTCAACTCATGTTTGATGGATGAGCGGCTCCCGGTTTTTCGTCGCTATATATTTTTACTTGACCTTAGTTTGTTAAGGGTAGTGTGTGAAAATATGTATTTATACGACCTATTGTGCGGGAGCTGTGATGACAACCCTTTGTTAAAAAAATCGAAGCATCACCTAAAAGCCAAATTCATGTAAAAATACTTTTTCTCATAATCAAAATATTTTTATTATTTTTTGTCTGCGTAAAAATCTTTCAGACACTAGTTAAACTAGATACAAAGCCATTAAAATTCATAATAAACTTTCACTATTGCATCGACTATACGAAACTTCGTGTTCGTCAAGTTAACTTTGAAAAATAGAAGTAGAAAACTCACTTAACATAACACAAAGTTTACACTTAACCTTTTTCACTTACCTTTCCATAAAAACGACCGTCCAGTCAGCTTGCGTTACCTGTGAACCTTTTCACTAAAGTTCAGTTACTTACTCTCATTAAAAAACTTTCTCGAGCTTTTGAATAGGTTCGCTTTCACATTTTTCATGAAAGCTCGCTGCTTTGCTTCGAGAATGTTCATATATTCAGTCGAGAATACACAGTAGGAGCTTGTTTAATGAATCCGCAACGTTTGTTAAACTGATTTACGTAAACAATGGTACGGCGCTACAGTAAATGTTAGGAGTGCCACAGGGTTCATACTTGAGTCCAACTGTGTGCAACCAACTTAATGCTGTGTGACTCAATTTAAATGCACAATGATATTTCGTCTAGACATTTCGTGTGTTGTTGCTATTTTTGGTTTAATTAAGGTTTTAGCTTGAGCTTTTTGGAGACCGCAGCTCATGGCTATTATGACTATAAGTCTGATTATTACGACTGCAAAACATAGGGAACTTCAGTGCAATGAAACTGAAGCGTAATTTTGGAATAACTCAATTTCTCAGTATGTTATTTTTACAACCACAGCATATTTTATTTTACACGTGCACGAAGTCTATTAAATAATTTGTCAATGCCATTTTATAAATAGCATCATCTAATGGTATGATATTGATTATTTTATAAACATTTTGCTAGCTAAATTTCAACCCTGATGATAATGTAGTAAGGCCTTCGTTAAGGCTGAAGATATGTAGTTAGTTCTCTTAAAGTAGAATTACGTTGCTATAAGTTAATCTGGAAGTAAATCGATCCTCCCACATATCAAACCAAATTCGTCAACCAACGCACTCTACGACAAAAACAGTAAACGTTCATGTTTTTGCTATGTATAAGGAATTTGATCCAATGCCATGTCACACAGGAGACCCTTCTCAAGATCTTACTTATCTATTGATGACGTAAAGCTGTGAATATTCTATAGAGTAAAAATAGAAATATACAGAGACATTTTTATGCTTCAAAAATATATTTTTATAAATAGTGAGTTTAGTTTCCGAATATAGTGTAAATTGGATTTTTGATTTCAAAATACTTAATATATGCATATATATCATTATTAAAAATATAGGTGGTATTTTTGTAAGTAATGATTATAACAGTTTTGTATCCATAACATAACAACATAACAAAACATCACGCCTTTTTTATCCCCGAAGGGGTAGGCAAAGGTGCACATTATACCACTGTACAATGTAACACCCACTTTTCACTATTTATGTTATGAGTCTCATGTAATAGGGGGTGAGCCTATTGCCGTATACCGGGCACAATTCCAGACTCCGTGCTACTACTGAGAATATTTAAAAACCCAGTAATACTTTGCCCGACCCGGGAATCGAACCCGAGACCCCTTGCCCGGCAGTCGCACTTACGACCACTCGGCCAACGAGGCAGACCAGTGTTTGTTTTGTATCCAGTGGCTAAAAATAAACCCTTACATAATACTACTTTAGCTGCAAATTGGCCACCTAATATGTCAAAGACGTTTGACCTTTTTTGGTCGACAGTACGTTCCAAAGTGGTTGAGGGTTCTATCTGCATGAATTTTCAGCTTTCTGGGTCAATGGAATTTAAATTTCCAATTGAATGTGAGGTCTACGTATGAGGGAAATTATGCTATCGATATATAATTATAGACACTGTTTTAAAAGCAAGATTGTAGGCGTTTTTAGATTGGGTAAAGTTTTATATGAGTATTAGACCATAAGGTTTTAAAAAAACGTGGGGAAATAAATAATTCCACACTCTTCTCAACATAGAAAGGGAAATTTTCTACTCAATAAAAATAAATAAAATATTCAAACCTTCAAGAAAAGAGCGTATTCCTTTAAAAAAGGAAAAAGGCCGGCAACGTACCTGTGGCTCCTCTGGTGTTGCGGGTGTCCATGGGCGGCGCTGATCGCTTACCATCAGGTGATCCGTCTGCTCGATTGCCTTCTATTCCATAATAAAAAAAAACAAACGTTGTTTGACTTAGTTTTGTAACAAAAGATGTTATGAAAGGAACTAAAGTAATAGATACACAAAAACTTAATAAAACATTTTTGAACATGAAGAACACAAAATAGAGAAAACAACATCTAAAAAAGGAACATCAAAATAATAATATAAATATAGTAAATGTCAAAAATAACAAGAACTTTAATTGGAACAAGAAAAAATTGATCAAAGACTGTCTGTATAACAATTAATTACATTCCTGAGAGCTCTATTATACAAAAGTTGAACATTATAATATTTTTATATTAAACTATCTTTGTACCCGCGGCGTCCAACGCACTTTGCGAGGGGTTGGTGGCAGACAAGCAAAAATATGATCAAAAATAAATTTAAGTGTGGGAGAGCCATGCTTCGGCACGAATGGGCCGGCTCGACCGGAGTGATACCACGGCCTCACAGAAAACCGACGTGAAGCAACGCTTGCGTTGTGTTTCGTCGTGTGAGGGAGGTTACCGGAGGCCCAATTACCTTCCACAATTTCCCCAATCCCTGAATCCCCAACGATCCTCAAACTCCTAATCCCCAAAAGGTGGGTAACGCAGTTGTAACGCCTCTGGTGTTCCAGTTGTCCATGGGCAACGCCGATTGCTTTCCATCAGGTGATCCGTCAGCTCGTTTACCGGCTTATGCCATAAAAAAATCCGCATCTTATAGCTTTCGACCTTAAAAAATGTGTAATTATACTCTATACATACTTCTATACCCTATTTTAGGCAAGTGAGGTACCAGAAAGAGATAAAAAACTATGTCACTCTCCGTTCCTTCAACTATCTTCACTTCAAAAATCACGTCAATTCGTCACTTCGCCACGAAAGACGAACAAATAAACCGACACACACACCTCGGCAATTATAATATTAGTACGTATATTACTCATTACATTTCACCGCCCTAGTTTGTTCATAGAAGATTCAATTAAAAGTTAAACTTTCCTTTATACATGCCATTATACAATTAAGTTTGTTATATTTTGTATGACGAAGCTGTGTTATATTATTAAAATTTATCAGAATATCGTTTTATGGGTGAAATTTGATAGGTTTAAAGTTTTAATACACAGTATTGTGTTTTGTGGTCGAGTGGACAAAAGATTGAGTTTCAAATACAGGTTTTAACGGGGCTTCAATCGGATTGTAACTATAACATTTAATTATAATTTTAGTAGCAGTCACTCAATACTAATGTAATTCGAATTATTAAATACTAGCTGACCCAACAAAATACAAATTCTTCTTCTTCCCTGGAGTTTCACAAACTTTCGTGACCTAAATTTCGCAAATCGGTTCGGCCATTCTCGAGTTTTAGAGAGACTAACGAACGGAAATATATTTTATTTATAAACAAAACTGAACTTGACCTTGTAATTGGCTCATTGTTACCTACGCCTATTGTTATTTTTATCCATTTTCATAAGCTGTAAGTCCTCCATGAATTATAAATAAATAAATATAATAAGATATAGAATTGCTATATTGTTTAGGACTTTATATTGAATAGTGTGTTTGCCCCGTAGAATTTGTCTTGATAATGGTATTGTATCGTCTTTTAAGTGTATAACTAGATTAAACTATTTTTAAATTTCACTATAACTAAAATCTCCTTATCTTCTTCCACAGATCGAAAATGTTCACCGCACAGCCGAACGCCTCTGTGCTAATCTACAGCCCAGACGACAACCAGACAGAAAGTGACTACACTCCATATGAAGAACGGCTGGAGACGTACCTGGTACCCATCCTGTTTGCCATCATCTTCATAGTAGGTGTTCTTGGCAATGGGACCCTGGTTATTGTGTATGTCAGACACAGGGGGATGAGAAATGCCCCAAACACGTAAGTTTTTGTTTTGTATTGGTTGCATCCGTCTTTCTCCCTTCTACATTCGTTAATTCATTACTAAACGATTGCTGGTGATAAATACCTACGGCTATTTTTATTAGAGGTACAATCCACTATTATTATAGTTGGTGTATTTTTTTTCTACAAGTCTAACTATGTTTTGTTTATATATGTGTACGTACATTGAATTAATAGGTGCTTTGACAAACTTTTTGAGCAACACATTTTTTTATGGAGTAAGCCGGTAAACGAGCAGACGTATCACCTAATGGTAAACAATCGGCGTCGCCCATGGACATCCGAAACACCAGAAGTGTTACAAATGCCTTACTAGCCAATTGCAAATTAGGATTTTGAGGATTGTTGGGGATTCGGAGATTGATAAATTGGGGAAGGGTTTCACACAATTCTTAATTTCTTGCTAATATCCTTTTTTGTCTTTCTAAATCAAAACGTACCTATAATTAATTAATATAAGTAATAATAATATTATGTCTTATAAATCTTCACCATCTTCACTTTCAATAGTTCATCAAAGCAGAAATTCGTTGCATTGCCGAAGTTCATATGAACCTTTCTATCTAACGAACTAGTTCGATAACTAACGAAGTTCCTTGCTCTCTTCTATTCGCTTCCATTTGTTACATTTCCCCATCGAATGTGAAATTAACCCTCATAATTCTTCCCCTATCATAAAACTTTACCCCGAGTCTAACTTTCTCTTTGATAAAGCATTGTGTTGAAAGAATCTCTTCATTGCGTACTGTTATGAACAAGGCCTTATTGTAAATTCTAATCTAATCAATCCTTACATTGTTGTTAACAAAGAACCATACTTATAAATTATATTCTAATCAATCCTTACATTGTTGTTAACAATGAATTACTATACTTTAAATTGCAATCTAAACAATCTTCACATTGTTGGTAACAAAGATCTATACTTTTAAATTACCACCTAAACAATCGTTATATTGTTACTAACAAAGATCTAAGCACTCTTACATTGTTATGAACAAAGCCCTATTCATGTAAATTGCAATTAAAGCAATCGATACATCCTGTGGCACTTATACGCGCAAGTATAATTTATCGACTAAGGGATAACCCCCCACCACTGGCCATATAGAATAAAATATACGTTTTAGTTGTGTATAGAGTCACTCCAGATAAAGTTATTCAACTATTAACACCGTTTTATATCACACAGTAATTATTGTAAGTCGAAAGTTGTGAAGTGAAATAAAGAAATTATTAGCAGCACTTGTGGTGTCATTTATAAAAGGGACTCCCGGAGCGCCATCCTAACAAATTTTGGTGTCAGAAGTGGTATCCTAGGAAAATACGTGAGTACTGGGATCTATAGGTGTAGGCGTCGCGAATTTATTTCCACTCGTCTGCACCGTAACATTTGTTGGCTCCGTGGTATAGTAGTCCTATTGGTGGAGTAGTCGACGATAAGTCTTGGGCTCCTCATAAAGCCTAAGCCCGCACTGCTGCATTCCTCGTGGTCGACGTTAAGCCTCCGCTGTATAGCGTGAGCCCGCATCACGCCGAACACCTTAGCTGCCCTGTGGTCGACGGTAAGTCTCCACTTTACAGTGTGAGCCCGCATCACCGCTTCACTGCAAGGACCTATTCATCAAGGTTCTACAGACTTCTCATCAGCCACGTATTCTGGGCACACCGTGTGTGTGCAGTGCAACGTGACGAAGCGCATTGGTAAAATACGACTCCCTGGGTCATTCCAAGTGCGTGTCGCAACTTCCAGAATACTCGCGTGTGCTACGATTTTACTGTGAGTTTTTCAAAATTCATTCAGTGTTTTTAAATTAATTGTGAAAATAATAATCGGTGCAGTGATTTTCAATTTTCAAAAAAAAAACGTTTAATTTTACTGAAGTCATTGTTTTAATTTTAACTCATTATATTTTATTAATTTTAAATTGCAACTTTTTCAACTTTAACTTTTTACATTTTGTGCATGTTTGTCTGATGTTCTGTAGTATTAAATAAAGTACAAAAATTAAAATGGCTGACAAAATCACTCTTTCAGTTCTCACTAAATTCATCAAGCCATACAATGGAGATCGCGAATTGTTACCCGCATTCTTAACAAATTGTGAGAATGCGATAGCCTTAGCCACTACAGAACAACAGAACGTTTTATGTAAATATGTCATTTCGCAGTTGGAAGGGAAGGCTCAAGCAGCTTGTTGTTTAAAAAGATTCAATAATTGGTCAGAGATCAAACTATTTCTTAAAACTACGTTTGGAGAGAAAAAACACTCCACTCATTTATTAGTTGATCTACAACACTGCAAACAACTTCCTTCCGAAGACGTAATGCAATTTTCAATACGTGTTGAATCTTGTTTAACTAGACTACAATCTGATATTCACTACAGCTGCGATAGTGATAAAGAACTTTTAGGTCGCCTCGCCGCTATGGAGGATTTAGCTCTTAATACATTCTTGTTAGGGTTGAACTCTAATATTGCTCATATAGTGCGGTGTAGAACCCAAAGAAGTTATCAGAAGCGATTACACATGCTATTGAAGAAGAAAAAAATACAATTTGTCTAAACTTTCTAATCGCTCTAAACAATGCACAATATGTAATAAAAACGGTCATATTGCTTCAGAATGTTATAAAAATAAAAATAAGCATCCTAATTTATCATTTAAATTCATCTAATTTTAATACGCAGAGTAATTTTAATAATAATTCAGTGCAAACAAATTCTAATTTCTATAATCCAAATAAATCTTGCGCATATTGTAAAAAACGTGGTCATTTAATAAATGAATGTCGTAAACTTAAAGCTAAAAATAGCTTGCGCGATGCACATCACTCTACACTATCAAGTGGTCTTGCACCGAATACAGTAACGTCGAACAATAATCGCTCTAATGTACATCATGTCGATGCGTCTTTCGATAACATTAAAACTTTAAACTAAAAGGGTTCCGGATTCGTGTCTGCCGAAACCTTCATTTAAATGGCACGAAAAGCTCTTCAAACTGTGTTCCTAAATTTTCCCCAACACAGGTTCGCGCAAATAAGACTTTGAGTTCTTCAAACTGTGTTCCTAAATTTTCCCAACACAGGTTCGCGCAAATAAGACTTTGAGTTCTTCAAACTGTGTTCCTAAATTTTCCCCAACACAGGTTCGCGCAAATAAGACTTTGAGTTCTTCAAACTGTGTTCCTAAATTTTCCCCAACACAGGTTCGCGCAAATAAGACTTTGAGTTCTTCAAACTGTGTTCCTAAATTTTCCCCAACACAGGTTCGCGCAAATAAAACTTCGAGCTCTTCAAACTGTGTTCCTAAATTTTACCCAACACAGGTTCGCGCAATTAAGACTTTGAGTTCTTCAAACTGTGTTCATAAATTTTCCCCAACACAGGTTCGCGCAAATAAAACTTTGAATCCTTCACACTGTGTTCTAAATTATATTCAACACAGGTTAATGCGTTTACAGAGACTTCTAAGTCTTTTAATAAAAAGATAAATACTAATTCAAATTTTCAAGACAGTCCCTCATCTCGTGATAAATCGAGTTTTATTTCTAGGGATTGCTCACGTGAGGAAACATTTACTATTAATTATATGCACAATAAAGTTTCTCTACCTCACGTTTATTTAAAAACAAATGTTAACGATAAACCTTTGTGTTTTTTAATTGACACTGGTTCAACTATATCTATTGTAAAATTTTCTAGTTTACAAAATAAGCCAGTGCTTGGTTCCGAAATTGTAAAACTTAAAGGCTTAAGTGACAACGATTCTTATTGCCAATCTCTCGGATCCATTCAACTCAATTTTGAACATCGCGTTTCTTCAAAAAGCAAAATAACATTTGAATTTATGTTTCACGCGATTAACGATACGATCAATTTAGATTATGATGGAATTATTGGTAGTAATTTTATTCAACATTTTAAAATTGATGTTCAATATTCTACCAACACTCTTAATTTAGAAGGTTATGAAATACCTATTTGTTGTAGCAAGCCATCATACATCATACCACCACGGTCAGAAACGGTCATTGAGTGTCCAGTTTCCAATCTGTCAGATATCGATGACATAAAAGAAGGTTTAATACTAGATCATAAAATTTGTGATGGTGTATTTTTAGCAAATTGCATAGTAAATTTAAAATCAAATAACAGAATAAATGTTTCTGTTCTGAATACTACCGAATCTGAAATCGAAATAGACGACTTTCCAGTTAAACTTATACCATTTCACCTTGCTCCTTCTAAGTCAAACGAAGCTCAATCAGAACTCATTAATCAATTAAGTTCTTTAAATATTGATCGCTGAAAAGGTTCTCGAGCAAATAAGATGTTCCCATTTAAATTCAGAAGAAAAGAAAGCTCTGATGAAATGTCTTCTTAATTATACAGACATCTTTCATCTTGATGGCGAGCTCTTAACTTATACTGATGTAGTAAAACATTCTATAAATACTAAAGATGCAGCCCCTATACATGTAAAGTCGTATCGGTTTCCAGAAATACATAAAGATGAAGTTGAGAAACAAATCAAGAAAATGCTTGATCAAAATATTATTCGCCCTTCATGTTCCCCTTGGAATGCACCAGTGTGGGTAGTACCCAAAAAATTAGACGCTTCCGGTACACAAAAATGGCGTATCGTCATAGACTATCGGCGTCTGAATGATGTCACAGTTTCTGAGGTTTATCCTCTTCCCCTCATAACAGACATCTTAGATCAACTTGGTCATTCCAAATACTACTCCACGCTTGATCTAGCGTCAGGTTTTCATCAGTTATTGTTAGATCCTAAAGACACTGAAAAGACAGCATTCAGTGTCACAACCAATAGCATTTCAGGTCAATTTGAATTTACCAGAATGCCTTTCGGTCTGAAAAATGCTCCTTCCACATTTCAAAGAATGATGAATCTTGTTCTTTCAGGATTACAAGGTCTCCATTGTTATATATATTTGGATGACTGTATTATCTATTCTCATGATCTTGAATCTCACATGCGGAAGTTGCAATCTGTATTCGATAAACTCAGACAGGCAAATTTAAAATTACAGCCCGACAAGTGCGAATTTTTGCGCCGAGAAGTTGCTTATTTAGGGCATGTTATTACTGATAAGGGTGTTTCGCCTAATCCAGATAAGGTGAAGGCTATTTCTCAATTTCCAATACCGAAAACCCCAAAAGATGTAAAATCTTTTCTAGGATGACAGGTTATTATAGGCGTTTTATTGAGAATTTCTCCCATATAACAAAGCCTCTCACATCTTTGTTAAAAAAAGATGTTAATTTTCATTGGGCTCATGAGCAACAACATGCTTTTAATACTCTAAAACAAAAGCTTATCTCAGCTCCTTTATTACAATATCCCGATTTTTCTAAACTCTTTATAGTAACAACGGATTCTTCAAATTATGCCGTTGGTGCAGTCTTATCTCAGGGTGAGATCGGTAAAGATAAACCCATTGCATATGCGTCCCGGACTTTAAATAAACAAGAAGGGAATTACTCAACCACTGAGAAAGAGCTCCTTGCCATTCTTTTTGCCGTTAATACATTTCGACCTTATCTCTATGGTTACAAATTTAAAATTGTGACAGATCATCGTCCTTTAACATGGCTTTTTAACGCGAAAGATCCAGGCGGACGTCTATTAAGATGGCGACTAAAGCTAGAAGAATATAATTATGAAATCGTTTACAAACCCGGCAGAGTCAATAGTAACGCCGATGCACTATCTCGTTATCCCGTAAACGCTGTTACCACTCGTAGTCGTAAAAATAATTCTACCTCTTATGAGGAATATTTAAAAAAACAGGACAATAAGACTTTACCTGATTGCGATACGAAAATTGAAGAACACAACGAGAGCTTACATAAAGCAAAACAAAAGTATATCGCTTGTCCAGCCTTTAGATTTAGATAATTCAATGCCACATTGTGAGCAATTGTTATCAATGACTGAGAATTCTGAGAAATATCGAGCCAGTGAACGTGAAATTAACACAGTGCAGATGCTTGATTGTAAAAATGACAAAATATTATATTTCTTATTTACTAAAGTTCATCATTTTGACGAAACGAGTTACAAAATCATTTATGATCTGCTTGTCAAATTAAGAGACGAAATTGTTTTAAAAAATAATTCTCAGAAAGAATTAGCGTTGTCCGATTTTACTGAACCATTTACAAGGTTAGTTTATACAAAAATTTATAATATGATTTCATATATTTTCCACGGCACTAATATTAAAATACACATTTATAAAAATCAATTACTTTATCCTACCCCTGCTGAAATATCTAATATTCTGAAAGAAAATCATGGGACGACCATAGCTGGTCACCCCGGTGTTAAACGCATGTTAAGTAGAATTAAAGCTTCCTATTATTGGAAAGGTATGCGGTCTGATATCGAAAAATTTGTCAAAAATTGTAAGATGTGCCAAGTTAATAAGCCACTGCGAGCTTCCAATAGAGCACCTATGATTATAACTTCGACAAGTTCAAAGCCGTTTGAAAGAAAGGTCTCCAAAAATTTAAATACATATTAACGCTCCAGGACGATTTAACAAAATTTTCAAACGCCTATCCAATGGTTACTTGTACCACTGATGAAATTGCACGCAATCTCATACATTTCTTTTCGTTATTCGGTTTTCCCAAAATCATACTCTCCGATCAAGGTACATCGTTTACCTCAGAATTATTTAGGCAATTAACAGAAATACTCAAAATAAAAAATCTGTTTTCTACGCCTTATCATCCACAGACAAATGGCGCACTAGAACGTAGTCATGCTACCAGCTATCTCGCTACAGCGATCCTATCATACAACACAACTCCACATTGTTCTACAGAATATTCTCCTTTTGAACTTTTATACGGTTATAAGCCGACGATTCCTAGTAGTGCATATGAGTCGAACAATAACATTACTTATCAGGAATACATTCGCGCTTTACAGTATCGGATGAGATACTCTCGTGAAAAAGCTATTCAAAATATGAACAAATGTAAAGAAACATCAAAAATCTATTATGATTCAACAGCACGTGAAAAATCTTATAAAACTGGTGATTTAGTTTATTTAAAATTTCATCATAGGCTTCGAAAAGCCTTATCTCCAGTATGGAAAGGACCTTATAAAATAATCAAAACGCATGGTAAAAATAACGTCACCCTTCTGGTTAATAGAAAACACATTAAACATCATGTTAACGAAATAAAACCAGCATAGGTATCTCGTGAACATTCTATCATCGACGTATCTAAGTTTACAGTTTGTTACTATAATAACAAGCTAATGTTTGTCATTCAAGTTCTTTTAATAAATTTTATAAAGTTCAACCTCTACAAGAATTTGCCACAGCTTACTCCTCATGATACTAAGCATTGTTTAACTTATGCTTTGATTTACCCTTCTAAGCTATATGTAGCAATAACGGATGACAGATTGTCTTACACCTTTGTAGATAATATTCACGAATGTAAAACTGTTAAGAGTATTTAATGTGTCCATTGCCATAAATTTAGACAACCATAAATAAACTTTCATGTGAATCCTAGTTATTAACAGAAGTTATCTTATCACTTCCAGAGAATTTTGAGTCTAAATTTATTTATGGTAACATAAATGTTTGCCAAAAAAAAAAATTATGATAGTAAATACATATAAGGAACTTAAATAAATCAAATAGAAACCTCTAGTTTATAAGAAAACTATTTTTTGTTTTTGTTTTATTTTTATGGTATAGCTATTAAGATTAAATTTTAAATTTTATTTCTTTACTACACAAGTATATTCAATGTAACGATTTATTTTCTTTATTTTTTTAACTATTAAGATTCATGTTATATAAGACTTTCTAGATTTTGTTTTGTGACTTAAATGTAACTGAGTTTTATTTACAGATTAATTTTCAAATTGATGATATGTCTTGTCCTTCGCTTTATTATTAAGAAAGAATATTGTAATAAAAATAAACATTTTAAATAAAGCTCAGTCTAAAGGGGGGAGATGTTATGAACAAGGCCTTATTGTAAATTCTAATCTAATCAATCCTTACATTGTTGTTAACAAAGAACCATACTTATAAATTATATTCTAATCAATCCTTACATTGTTGTTAACAATGAATTACTATACTTTTAATTGCAATATAAACAATCTTCACATTATTGGTAACAAAGATCTATACTTTTAAATTACCACCTAAACAATCGTTATATTGTTACTAACAAAGATCTAAGCACTCTTACATTGTTATGAACAAAGCCCTATTCATGTAAATTGCAATTAAAGCAATCGATACATCCTGTGGCACTTATACGCGCAAGTATAATTTATCGACTAAGGGATAACCCCCCACCATTGGCCATATAGAATAAAATATACGTCTTAGTTGTGTATAGAGTCACTCCAGATAAAATTATTCAACTATTAACACCGTTTTATATCACACAGTAATTATTGTAAGTCGATAGTTGTGAAGTGAAAATAAAGAAATTATTAGCAGCATTTGTGGTGTAATTTCTTAAAGGGACTCCCGGAGCGCCATCCTAACAGTACTTATGTCAAGTAAATTCAACTATTAATGTCTGTAACTTATAAAATTATCGAATTCTTTCATCGCATCTTGGAGTTTATTCATAGTAGTTAACCATCTAAGACTTGGTCCAAAAATTTATAAGTGAAGAATCTCTACCTCGAAATTATAACGTATGAAAAATGGCGCGACTGTTTTTTTTTTAATTATTCTTTATTAGTCGATGAATGAGGTTTCAGTCTTGACAATTCATTCAGTGTTTCATCTTCCTGATAAAGTTCAGTACCCCAAAATATTTATCACTGTAAACAAAACATCATGTCTTACTCGTGCTGTCCGTCATCATTAACCTGTCTTTCATCCTACAGGTACATATTCTCGCTGGCATTAGCAGATCTCCTGGTGATCCTCATATGCGTGCCGTTCGTATCAATTATTTACACCCTGGAGTCCTGGCCGTGGGGCGAAGTGATCTGCAGGATATCCGAAGCTGGAAAAGATGTCAGCATTGGCGTGTCAGTCTTCACACTCACAGCTTTATCAGCTGAGCGCTACTGCGCTATAGTAAATCCTTTTAGAAGGTTACAGGTGGGTAAACTGGATTTTTATAACATTTTTTTATCGGTGTTATTGGAAAAAGATGTATTTTGTTCGTAGGGATGGATTTTAGACGGTTGAAGGATCGGTTTGAGACAGGTGGGTCGGGTAGTTCCGGGTGAGCGCGTTCTGAAATAGAGTTGAAAGGATTTCTGTCTTATTTGGTAAACGAAATTTTCTGATCGGATATTTTTGGTGGAATAAGTGCTTAAACTTACTTCACAGAACATAACTTAACATCACGCCTTTGTATCCTCGAAGGGGTAGGCAGAGGTGCACATTACGGCACTTAATGCCACTGTTTGTTTGACTGCACGGTTGGTGCGGTGGCTGGACAACCGGCTGCCGTGCAGCGTGTCGCGGGTTCGATTCCCGCACGGAACAACACTTTGTGTGATCCACGAATTGTTGCTTCGGGTCTGGGTGTCATTGTGTATGTGAACTTGTATGTTTGTAAACGCACAGGAGAAAATCCATTAAAATTTTCTCCTTTAAAAAACTGTACAATGTAACACCCACTTTTCACTATTTATGTTATAAGTCCCATGTAATAGGGGGCGAACCTATTGCCATATACCGGGCACAATTCCAGACTCCGTGTTACTACTGAGATTTTTTAAAAACCTAGTAGTACTTTGCCCGACCCGCGAATCGAACCCGAGACCCCTTGCCCGGCAGTCGCACTTGCGACCACTTGGCCAACGAGGCAGTCTTCACTTAACTTCACAGAATACAGATACAATTTATTTGTTTAAGAAGTTACTGAAGAAATATTTGTGCTAGCAAAGACTTATGATTTGTAAGGTTAAGATAACGCAAATATGAATAAGAAACAAAATATCAGACAGTCAATACTAAGTTGAGATTTATTACTTTCTTTATGTTTACAAGTAGATAAGAAACAGTTGGTCTGCAGGGAAAACTTTTGTTAGACCAGCTTGTAGATGAGACAAACTTGATTAATTTCTAGCCTGTCTGTCTGATGCAAGAGGACAAAACATGGCTTATGAGTTTTACGATATTGTGATATAGAGAGAGATGACATTTAATTAATATATTTTCAGCTTACTCACGTAACTGTTTGACAAGAAACTTGACAAGTATCATCCGCGGGCCGCGGAATGCTGCTAATAAATATAAGCCCCTAGCATGGCTTGAAACTAGTCGAGTTCCTCGTCAAATAGTTTCATTTCATTTTTTATTCAATAAACAATTTACATTGTATCTAAATGTCTTCACAATCATAAATTACATTGCAATATAATCCATGCAGCATGGATCAGTCATATTACTCAAAAAATAAAATGAACAGAACAATTTAAATAATAATAGAGGTAAAACGCGAAATAAGTTACGTGTGTAAGCCGAAAACATAATAATTGATTAGAATGTCTCACGAAAGTTTTAATATAGAGATGACATTTTATTGTCGGAATATTCAAACGCTACTCAATTTTAAGTCGCGCTCAAGTATAGTTCTGTCTTTACAAATTCTTTGTATAATGACAGAGATGGCACGATATTTAAGCACGACTTAAAATTGAGTAACGTTTCAGTATTCCGGCATTATGTAATTGTTTTTATTTGAAATGACTTTTTTGTTTAGTTATTACTTAAATGTTAGACACGCTTTTTAACCAGTAATGTAAATTAAACTTTGTGTTATAAGCCAAGCCTTACCGAAAATTCAAAAATCGAAAAACACGATGAAACATTCTTTGTCTATTATGAAAACGACTCTTGCACCCTAAGACGTTACCAACCTACTTTATGAACGACTGAGCCTCATATTTATTTCACCGAACATCAAACCCGACCCTAATTACTGTCTAAACACCACCTCAAGAACACAAAGATCATGTCACCACAAGTGTGGATAAACACACTAAACATGAGTAACTATCCACTAACTACTTAGTCCTTTAATAGTTTATAGTACTTTACTAACTCGAAACTTTGTTTCAGCTCCGGAAACTTCCTTTGGTTTGCGCGACATTCATATGGGCAGCGGCACTTATCTTTGCGGCGCCAGCGGCCCTGTTCTCAAACACAGTCACACTCCGGTTAAGGCCTAATGTTACCATAGTATACTGCACGCCTTTCCCGCCTGGATGGGACAGCTACCCAAAGTAATTTGAACTTAATTTTAGTGTTTTTACGTTTGATTTTTCGTTGTTTTTATTTGTATGGTTTAAATTGGTAAGTAGAAGTTTTAAACTCTTTTATAAAAGAACAGTGTTTTGGTTTCATGTTGACTAAATTGGTCTCTAAATAGACTTTCACTAGTCTAAATGCCATTAGACACTGGTGTAATGGAATGAATTAAAAATGTCAACATAATCGAGGTGATACTGAAGTTTAACAAAGGTAACGCCGTAAATCGACTTTTTTATTCACTCGATTCGAGTGACGATTATTTTTTCTATTTATAACATAACATAACATCACGCCTTTTACCCCCGAAGGGGTAGGCAGAGGTGCACATTATACCATTGTACAATGTAACACCCACTTTTCACTATTTATGTTATAGTCCCATGTAATAGGTGGTGAGCCTATTGCCATATACCGGGCACAATTTCAGACTCCGTGCTGTTACTGAGAAATTTTTAATAAACCTTTTTCTATTTATTTAGTGGAACTATTTAGCTAGGTACTGCAGAACAACAGTAAAGTACAACAGATCTAATTTCCCTAGAAGCGATGCGAACGTTGATAGAATTTTAATTTCAAATGCAATGCAGAATATTATGCAGCGTTAATGCAAATGTTCTAACCGCGCCAATTGAAACGCCTGACATAACTGTTCTAGCAATTTCATTCTCTATGACACTTTGATGCTAATGCCATCATTGCTTTTTATACTCATGTAAAATTGAATGTTATACTCATTTGAATAGGGTGTCATTTTGTATGGCTTTATCTTAGTCGTTAGCTGGGGTTTAAGGGTGGAGATGGTTTGTGACGTCGGAAGTGTGATAAGGATTATAAGTTTGTGCTTTTTTGCTCCAAATTGGTCTTCAAAGATCGTTTAGTATCTATTTACAAAGGTTTTAGTTCGTGCTTTAGTTCTGAATTTCATTTCAAAATACATAATACAATCATTTCAAAAAATGAAAATGTAACAATATACCTATTTTTTAGAAAACACTGTTGAATTATCTCTAGAAAATTAAAAGTTTTGCCCGTAGAACATAAACTGATGTTACACGCATTCTGTTACAATAATAAAATATTTTAATCCAACACAATGTTTGAAATTCACTACATTTTCATAAAATGAAAAAGCTGACTTGAATTTAATTTTCGCGCCACTGTAGTATGCAAAACGAACGACACAACTGTTGTCAAAATTCGATGACCGAAGCACAGGTCATAATTTATTCAGCCTCATATGTCAATGTTGATAGCTCTCAACATGAAATCGTACCAACGGACCTCTTTAGTAATAATCCTATATAATATTGTTTATGAAAAATAATTAATTGGTAACAAAATGCTAATTTTGACTAGGAGTAGGAACGGTGTGGTTTTTAGTCGGTAAGAGTCTGACACTCCTTCTCGCCTCACTAGAGGTGAACTAATTGGATGATTTCCCCCCTTAAAAATAGCTAGGAACTACTTTTCATCAATTAATCTACGTATGGTCATTGGTCACACTCCTAGCCTCTTTCTTAGCCGACCCAGCACCAGTTCTCAATGACAACAAAAGGATAGACGGACGGGTTACCGGGGCTCCGGCTCGACGTGCAGGAGAAGGAACGGGGTGGTTTTTAGTCAGTAAGAGTCTAACACTCCCTCCCGCCTCACCCAGGCGGGGGCAGTCATTCGATGATTTTCCCCTCTTAAAAAAAAAAGATGGACAGAAAAGAGACTTTCATCGCGACCAGATATTTCCTCACCTTTGTAATTTGTTTACAAAAATTTTACATAGATCTTAGCCTAAGAAGATATGCAGAAGTGCTTTTTAACATCTAAAGCTCTTAGTAGGTTTAGTATACGACCTTTTAACTCGTTGAGCACCGTCATTATAGACACAAGTAAAGGACAATAGGTTGCGGTCACCGGCGACCGCGTGGTGTTTGACAATTTAAATAATATTCATTTATTGGTCTCATTGAACTAACAGAGATTCCTGACATTTCTTGGGAATTCCTATTCAACACCAACCATCATCCAGTATCTTTACCATTACTAGGAATTCAAATCTAAACAGTCAAGATCAGACCCCATTACGTCAAGCCTGCGGTCACCAAACCATTTCACTGAATTATAATAATCTTATAAACAAAACAAACAGCGAAATAAATTGAATAGAGACATTTTCCTCGTTTCAGTTTAACAATATAATAAACAATAGAGGTTTTGAGCCTCAGATAATCCTTTAGGCGAAATGTTATTAGTTTTATAACGCAATTTGGACTCGGCCTACAAAGGCAATTGATCCTCTAGGGATTTCAAAATGGAATTAGGCTATGAATGAAATCTGGGACTGTTCTGTCTGTAGTTGTACTATTTGAGTTAATGACTAGGTTTCTCATATCCTACTTAGATTTAGTTCTAAGTTAGATTTGAGCAAGCTAGGTTATACAGGGTAGTAATATTGTCAAGCAACGAAAACATTTTGTAGATTCTGAAATAAATAAACGTTTTTAAACGACTTCGAAAAGGAACAAAAGAAGGTTCTCAGCTAGACCTGTACGTATGTATATAGGTATATGTGCGCGACTATCTCGCAATTGTCTAAACCGATTTTGATACGCTATTTAAAAACTCTTTGTTACACTAAGGAGAAGGGATTGAAGTCGGTTTTTTTAAACGTAGTTTCGAAAAGAATTATCGAACCTTTCGGGTTTCTACCCAATGCAAATAGGTACCTACTTCTACTTAATACAATTTTTATTGACAATTTTTAGAAAAACCGACCCGATCAAGACATATAACTAAGAACTCTTTATAACATAGCATCAACTAACTTTTGAAATCCTCCAAACAGAGTACATAGCGGTGTACACAAACTACGTGGCACTCACTTTTCATTACATAGACATGTTAAGTCTCACGTAATCATCATCATCATCACCAGCCTGTAAGTGACCACTGCTGACCTAAGGCCTCTTCTCGCATGGATAAAGTTTGAGCGTTAATTACCACGCTTGCTCAATGCGTTGGCGATTTCAAACTTATAATTAGAAATTATAAGCCCAGGTTAGCTCCAGATGTTTTCCTTCACTGTTAGTCAGTGGTGTCTAATTTTGGAAAGTACATATAGGTAACTCGGAAAAGGTCACAGTAGTCTCACAGTCTAACTTAATAGGGAGTCTCTATTGACTGGACAACATTTCAATTAATAGAATTATTATTAATAACTAATAACTTCATACCGCCTCATTGTTTTTTCGAACTAACATTTTAAACCTTCCTTGGACTTCCATGAACCTTTCAAAACCAAAATTAGCCTAATCGGTTCAGCCGTCCTCGAGTTTCAGCGGGACTAACGAACGGAAATTCATTTTTATTTATAGATAGATAGACTAGCGACCCGGCCCAGCTTCGCACGGGTGCAATATGCATGCATTATACATATAAACCTAACTAAAGAATCACTCTAAAATTACGGAGAACCTAAGGGGTTACCGGGGCTATTAAAACGATCTATTAAAAAAAACCACATCAAAATTCGTTGCGTAGTTTTAAAGATTTAAGCATACATAGGGACAGACAGACGGCGGATAGCGACTTTGTTTTATACTATGTAATAATTTATGCTAAGAATTTTGCTATTTGCTCCTACACGACCTTTAAATAGAATAAAATGAGACCTTTTCCTCTTTCATCTTGATTATTAATTACTAGAACTAGGACACAAAGACTAGGAAGAAATGAAAGGTCATCTGTAGCGTGAATCCTGACTTAATATTGTAGCCGAGAGTTCAAAATTGAATAACCCAATGAACACAGGAAAATCTAATTCAAAGGAGGACCTCATAAAAACTATTTGGATGGTCTTTTTCTTTTACTTTTTATCCATGTTCAAGTTATATTAGGATACTATAAAGGATCTGTGTATGTCTGTGTTAATTAAAAAGACTCTGAACTTCGAATCATTTAGGAGTAAGGAATAAATGATAGTAATCTAGTAAAAGTCGTGTTAGTTACACTATTTATAACTCAAGAATGCCTAAATCGATTTGGATGAAAATTGGTGGTAGCTTAGAAACAGGAGACGGACATAGGATACTTTTTACCCAAATCTTTTTTTTTTACTTTTTACTGAAAATCAAGAACCGGAACGGGAGATATCGGGATTGCGCGTACGAAGTCGCGGGCAGAAGCTAGTAATCTATAAAAAAACATAACATCACGCCTTTTATCCCCGAAGGGGTAGGCAGAGGTGCACACAGAAGTGACACCCACTTTTCACATAACATAACATCACGCCTTTTATCCCCGAAGGGGTAGGCCAAGGTGCACACAGCAGTGACACCCACTTTTCACTATTTATGTTTTGAGTCCCGTGTAATAAACGTGCCATATACCGGCCACATTTCCAGACTACGTGTTACTACTACTGAGATGTTTTTTAAAAACCGAGTAATACATTGCCCGACTCGGGAATCGAACTCGAGACCTCTTGCTCGGCAGTTGCACTTAGGCAAAATTCATTTCCACTGTAAAGCCACTGCATTAAGTGCCGGAATGCCCCTTCGTGGATAAAAGGTGAGATGTTATAAGTAATGTATAATTAGCACACCCCATCAAGGAAGAACATGACTAATACTAGTATTACATTGCTTTAAACATTATTAAAACATGATTGTCTTTTTTTTTTTTTTTTTTTTTTTTTTAAGGGGGGAAAATCATCGAATGACTGCTCCCGCCTGGGTGAGGCGGAAGGGAGTGTCAGACTCTTACTGACTAAAAACCACCCCGTTCCTTCTCCTGCACGTCGAGCCGGAGCCCCGGTTACCCGTTAGGTTCTCCGCGACTCCGAATCGGCATCGGCCCTATTGGGCCCCATCTGTGGTGGTCTGATGGCTCTTTGAGGCGCGCGCGGAACGCGACGCGCCGTACGCTCGGGTCTGTTTCTGGTCGGACGGGGAGCCACCCATGCTCGCCGTCCGCAGGCCCGCGCTTACGGTGGCCGGAGATCGTCCCGCGATCCCCGACGCCCGGTGTGTCCTTCGCGATGGCTGGGTTGCGAGGAGGCAGCGCTTCGCTGCCTCGCGCGTCCCGCCTCCTCCTTAGCCAGCATGACTGCTTCGCAAAAGGAGGAGACGGCATCCCAGTCCCCCTCGCTCCGCATCATGGCCTGAACTAGGCCCGGACGCGAGAGGTCTCCATCGCCGATCACTTCCCTGAGGGCACGGCGGTGCTCAGCCCACGCAGGGCATTCCGCAACAGTGTGTTCCACCGTGTCCTCAGGGTGGTCCTCGCAGTGATGACACCCGGGCGTTTCCTCCCGCCCCATCAGACACAGGTACCTCCCGAAACTTCCATGTCCGGTGAGGACCTGCGTCAGGCGGTAGGTGAGGACGCCGTAGCGTCTCTCAAGCCACTCCTCAAAGAGGGGACTTACCGCTGCAATGGCAGCGAGCCCAAAACATGATTGTCTAGAGGAAAATAGACCAATCACATTGATACATACGTAAGACTTGACTATTAGTGCAATTATGCCATTTTATTTTTGCTATGGATTATGGAATTACCAACCGCAAAAAACTATGGGGATTTAATAAAGCTAGGGGCTTCACCCCTCCGTATATGACTCCGCCCCCTGCGGTGCCCGACGCGGGCTACAGCGACGACGACGATGACATCGTCCCAGAGGTGACCGAGGCAGAATTGAGAGCGGCGGTGCGCCGGATGGGCGCCAAGAACACCGCCCCAGGACCCGACGGCCTGCATGGCAAGGCATGGGTCCTGGCCTCAGAGGCTCTCGGGCCTCGATTGATTGGTCTCTACAGCGCATGTCTGGAGAAAGGCCAGTTCCCGCTTCTCTGGAAAGCGGGCAAACTGGTCCTCGTGCGGAAGACGGGGCGCCCTGCGGACTCTCCGTCCGCGTACCGGCCCATAGTGCTGCTCGACGAGGTGGGGAAAGTCTTCGAAAGAATCATTTCGAACCACCTCGTCGCGCACCTGACGGACATTGGGCCGGACTTGTCGGACGGCCAGTTCGGCTTCCGCAGAGGGCGCTCCACGGTGGACGCCATCATGCGCGTTAGAGACCTCACGACGGGGACTGCAGTGTCCAGGGGTAAGGTCGTAGTGGCGGTGTCTCTGGACATCGCCAACGCCTTCAACTCCCTGCCCTGGAGCTGCATCTTGGAGGCACTCCGATATCATCGGGTGCCTACCTACCTCCGTCGTGTAATCGAGGCTTACCTGACGGACAGGTCCGTCAGCTACCCCGGTCACCGGGGCGAGTGGAACCGGCGAGAGATGTCACGCGGTGTTCCACAGGGTTCGGTTCTGGGGCCGCTCCTGTGGAACATCGGCTATGACTGGGTGCTGCGCACCGACCTCCCGAACGGCGTTAGCACAATATGCTACGCCGACGACACGCTGGTGCTAGCGCACGGGAGGTCGCACCAGGCGGCGGCCGACTTAATGGCGACAGCGGTTGCGACAGTCGTTGAAAGAATCCGGCAGTTGGGACTCGAGGTGGCGCTCCACAAGTCCGAGGCCATGTGTTTTCATGGCCGCGGGAACGCGCCACCTCCGGGTGGGTCCCAAATAACGGCGGGAGGGGTTACCATCGGCGTCGCGACGGCGATGAAGTACCTAGGACTCGTCCTCGACAGTCGGTGGAACTTCATAGCGCATTTCCGCCGTTTGGCTCCAAAGTTGGAGAGGACGGGGGCTGCGTTTAACGCATCCTCCCCAACCTCGGGGGGCCAAACGCCTCCTGCCGGAGGTTATACGCCGGGGTCGTGGCGTCCATGGCCCTCTACGGCGCCCCTGTTTGGGCGCCGAACTTGTTGCGGCGTCCTGCTCGGACGCTGCTCATGTCACAGAGGGTCATGGCGATCCGAATGATACGCGGATACCGCACGATCTCCGGGGAGTCGGCGAACCTCCTTGCCGGATCACCGCCGTGGGATCTGGAGGCGAAGGTGCTCGCGCGCGTGTATCGCATGCGCGCGGAGGCACGTCGCCGGGGCGAAACTCCTCTGCCGCGCCAGATAAGTGCGTGGCGGGATGAGCTCCGACGCGATCTCATGGCGGAATGGCAGCAACGACTGTCGCAACCGAGGGCTGGGCTCGCTGCCATTGCAGCGGTAAGACCCCTCTTTGAGGAGTGGCTTGAGAGACGCTACGGCGTCCTCACCTACCGCCTGACGCAGGTCCTCACCGGACATGGAAGTTTCGGGAGGTACCTGTGTCTGATGGGGCGGGAGGAAATGCCCGGGTGTCATCACTGCGAGGACCGCCCTGAGGACACGGTGGAACACACCGTAGCGGAATGCCCTGCGTGGGCTGAGCACCGCCGTGCCCTCAGGGAAGTGATCGGCGATGGCGACCTCTCGCGTCCGGGCCTAGTGCAGGCCATGATGCGGAGCGAGGGGGACTGGGATGCCGTCTCCTCCTTTTGCGAAGCAGTCATGCTAGCTAAGGAGGAGGCGGGACGCGTGAGGCAGCGAAGCGCTGCCTGCTCGCAACCCAGCCATCGCGAAGGACACATCGGGCGTCGGGGATCGCGGGACGATCTCCGGCCACCGTAAGCGCGGGCCTGCGGACGGCGAGCATGGGTGGCTCCCCGTCCGACCAGAAACAGACCCGAGCGTACGGCGCGTCGCGTTCCGCGCGCGCCTCAAAGAGCCATCAGACCACCACAGATGGGGCCCAATAGGGCCGATGCCGATTCGGAGTCGCGGAGAACCTAACGGGTAACCGGGGCTCCGGCTCGACGTGCAGGAGAAGGAACGGGGTGGTTTTTAGTCAGTAAGAGTCTGACACTCCCTTCCGTCTCACCCAGGCGGGAGCAGTCATTCGATGATTTTCCCCCCTTAAAAAAAAAAAATTATGGGTGTACCATTGACTCTATTAATTATGACCACATTGATGTATGTATGTATCTGTAAGAATTCTTAGTAAAATTCACAATCACTATACTTATTAGACCGGTACTTTGATACGGACAAAGATGTTGATGAAACCACAAAAATTCGCCGCCATTTTCTCGTTTTTGGCAACTTTCAAGGACAAATGAAGTTTGTTTTTTAAGTTATGATATATTACTATATCATTTTTATTGTTCCCAAGCGGATAGATGAAGATTAGATCAGTCAACTTGAAGCTTTCTGACGCTTTTAAATATTAGAGGAGATTTTTTTGGCCGGGTGGCGACTGCCTCATTGGCCGAGTGGTCGCAAGTGCGGCTGCCGGGCAAGGGGTCTCGGGTTCGATTTCCGAGTCGGGCAAAGTATTATTGAGTTTTTAAAAATACTCAGTAGTAGGACGGAGTCTGGAATTGTGCCCGGTATATGGCAATAGGGTTATCCCCTAATACATGGGACTCATAACATAAATTGTGGAAAGTGGTTGTTATATTTAACAGTGGCATTAATTGCCGTAATGTGCATCTCTGCCTACCCCTTCGGGGATAAAAGGCGTGATGTTATGTATGTATGTAGTTATATATTTTTTTACAAACAAGACAAACATAGATACATACGTGGTTCAATCTAAATCACAGGTGCTATTTTGATAAGCATACATTAGTAGAACCTTTATTACAAAATATTTTCCTTTATTTATTTTCATACTTGATTAATACATTTTTAAATATTTGATAAAAAAGCAAATAAAAATCAGTAGCTCACCAGTAACGGGAGTAATCCAAGCTATGCTCATGGCTCCATAGAGACGAATTTCCGGACAATACGCACCGTGTCCAGATGTACTGCTTTCTGCATTAGGCCCTTGACCCAACCATCATACGCTAGTCGAGGCTTTTAGCAATGAAGCCATTGACAGATATGACTATCAGCACAATGATCGCTGATACAACATCCAACATCTCGACAGTCTCAAGAGCTAAATCAAAATATTTAAATAACGTTATTATTTGATAATTAATTATAACTGAAATTGCACTTTATATAGCAGTATAGTTGCAGTATAGTTGCAGGCAGTATAGTCCCAATATAGTTGCAGTATAATTTCAGTATTTTTGCAGTTTAGTTGCAGTATAGTTGCAGTATAGTTGCACTATAGTTGCAGTGTAGTTGCAGTACAGTTAATTTTGAATTCTCTAGCACATATACTTTTTACTAACATTGCCTATTTGTTACAGATGGATGACATTAGCAAAGGCGTTAATATACTACGGGCTACCATTGTTGGTGATTGCTTTTTTTTACTCACTAATGGCACAGCGCTTACTGGCCAGTACCAGGGAAATGCCAGGCGCTTTACACGGAGGCCAAGGAGAAGCACAGGCGCAGGCTAGGAAATCTGTTGCCTGTATGGTGTTGGTGTTTGTTATTGGTAAGTATACATTAATATTATAGTATTAAATATTTTTACTTGGCAAATTTAAACTTTAACACGAATGGATCGTGTCGACCGGAGTGACATCACAGTCTCACAGTAAGCCACCGTAAAACAATGCTCGCGTTGTGTTTCGCCGTGTCAGTGGCGTTATCGAATTAAGTGTGGGAGAGCCATGCTTCTGCACGAATGGGCCGGCTCAACCGGAGTATTACCGCGATCTTACAGAAAACTGACGTGAAACAACGCTTGCGTTGCGTTTCGTCGTGTGAGTGACGTTTCCATTCTATTTAGGTAGGGTACACCAGAATTTTTTTCTTTGTCATAGTCAGATTGACAAAGGTAATACCAGGTTTTAAACCAGGTAGCCGCCTTGGAAAACCTGATTAGTCAGCACTGTAGACTATGGCATATTTACTTGCCTACTGGATTTTAATGCAATCGTTGGCGTATTTGACACGAACAAAAAAAATGTTTTTTTTGTGGTAATTCTCATTACCTCTATAATATTGGTTAACGAACTATGTAGGTATATATTATTTACTTAATTTACATAATAATATATAGTTCTCCGTACTACTATTTGTATTTAGGTACCCACTTGAATCGTGCAAATATTTGTTTTCGACATTGATGTCTTAAAAACGTATGGAAATTTATCAATTAGAGGGCCCATGAGAAATATATGAGTATTTAGAATAACAATTAAAGTTACGTCATCATTTATATTTCTATAAAAATTTTTTATTATAAATATGAACTTTGAGCGTAACTGAATGTCATGTTATTAAGTGAAGTGAATAAATATATGATTTAACGAAACTGTTCTGCGAAGCTACGATTAATGATAGATTGGAGCATTTATGCACTGTACTAAAATTTGATCTGAAAATTCCTTATAGGTACCTATGTAACCATAATGTACCAGTACTTATTTTTCATAGATGCTATTATTAGAATTATATAGGTACATATTTACATAAACTGCCTCCGAGTGGTCGTAAGTGCGACTGCCGGGCAAGGGGCCTCAGGTTCGATTCCCGGGTCCGACAAAGTATTACTGGGTTTTTAAAAATACTCAGTAGTAGCACGGACTCTAGAATTGTGCCCGGTATATGGCAATAGGCTCACCCCCTATTACATGGGACTCATAACATAAATAGTGTAAAGTGGGTGTTACAATGTACCACTCGGCCAACGAGGCAGTAAAACCGAATACAAATTACAACTATTCGATTCAAGTATTAACTTCTCATAAAGTACGCAATAATATTATAAGTTCTGTTTAATACTAATACACCGAATGACTGTGTAAACTACAGATACGTATAAACAAATTGTTGAATTTAATTCATGAGGTTAAACTACGCTTTACTTAAACGATTTACGAGTACAATCGGGTAATATCAAGCATATTATTATGAACGCAATAAAATAAATGATTTGTATTTTTGGTTTACGTAGTAGGTAATGTTCTACAGATTGTTGTTCCGGGTCTGGGTGTCATGTGTATGTGAACTTGTATGTTTGTAAACGCACCCACGACACAGGAGAAAATCCTAGTGTGGGGCAACGTTTTATTTAAAAATAAAAATAATAATAAAAAAAACACTAATATTACAAATGTGAAAGTTACTTTGTTTGGATGTTTGTCCGTCGATAACGCTGGAATTACTGAACAGAATTTGATGAAATTTTGTATGCAGGCAGGGTATGGACTGACTTATGTGATAGGACTTTTTATCTAGATTAAAATGCTCTCATGGGAAACACAAATACGCGAGCAAAGCCGCGGGTAAAATTTAGTTAAAATAATTCAATATTCTTAACTTATTTAAACACTACTTTTGTTTCAAATTTAACTTTGTTTTTCTTCTCAACTAAAAACAAAAGCTAAATGAATTGAGTTCTAAATGTTTTAAAACTAGTAAAGTTTAGATTCGATTCGATTAATATATTCTAAATTGATTCACAATCATCGAGTACCACCTGACATCGATTGTAATTCGATTATAAATCTGAATATTCAATGGACAATTTCAAAAGAATTTGTGGATAAGCTACTTCAAGATCGTCCTAATAAATTCATATTTTCATCAAACATTGAAAATTGGAAGAACTTTCAATGGAACGCTTAAATGAGTTTTGAATAGTCAAATCAAACTTTACAAATCAATAGGCAATAAAATGTCTTTAAAGTTCAAATTGAGGTAGGCATCTTCACACCACTATTTCACAACCTACCTTAGTCTAAGCTTAATAAAAGCACCATGAAAAAAGGAGTATAAAGAAACAAAGTGTGGGAGAGCCATGCTTCGGCAAGAATGGGCCGGCTTGACCGGAGTGATACCACGGGCTCACAGAAAACCGACGTGAAACAACGCTTGCGTTGTATTTCGTCATGTGAGTGAGGTTACCGGAGGCCCACTTACCCCCCTCCCTAGTCCCCGTCTCCCGAATCCCCGAATCCCCGAATTAGGACACCAACTATTAATTACCCATAAGAAATATATCAAGCAGAGCATATTCTTTCAATTCAAGCTTCTTAAAGTCTTCTAACATCTCAAATTGGCACGAACAACTTCCAGCCGTTTGTCTAACAAAACAGTATTAAAATGTGACGTGAAATTGACTATCCAGAATCCAGAATGCATATCATTACTAAGACCTGGACTTAGCTGGCTAAATAAAACTGGCTGTGAGCCAGAATAGTCTAACGAGGATTTATGATATCGATATTGACACGAACATTAGTTATTTTGAAAGCGTAACGTATAGTTACAGATTTTCCATTCAAAAGACGAAAGAACTTATATCAGTTCGTTGCTATTACGGTTCTTTTGATTGTTATATAAATATTGGCGGTATTTATGAAAGTACTCAGTGGTACATAGGTATGCTATTGAGCAGGTATGTGTCCAGCAATTTATGCTGGACACATAGAATTATGGCTACGTCGGTAAATCGTCGATCGCATCAAGTATAGTCAAATTAGAGTTTAGATTTTTCTTAATTGAATTTAAGAGATAACTGAGGTAACGTGCACATAGATAGCTTTTTTATAGCATAAGCCGGTAAACGAGCAGACGGATTACCGATTTGCATCAAATAAATGGTATGCAATTGGCACCGCCCATGGCCAACCGAAACCTCAGGCATTACAAGTGCGTTACCGGCCTTTTGGTAATTGTGAATTTGAGGATTGTGGCGGATTCGGTGATTCGGGAGACTAGGGAGGGTAATTGGGTGTCCGGTAACCTCACTCACGCGACGAAACACAATGCAAGCGTTGTTTCACGTCGGTTTTCTGTAAAGCCGTGGTATCACTCCGGTCGAGCCAGCCCATTCGTGAAAACTACCACTACGTGCTAACTACCACTTCTCTACCCGTCCCCTAAAGAAATAACAAATTTAAAGCTGATATAACAAAGTTATAAAAGTAGAAACCTATAAACATTAATGCCCAAAGATTATGAACTAGACCTTGATTGAGCAGTAACCATGAAAATAAAAATCAATAAAAGTTGACACTGAAAATACTATTGCTCCGATTTGCATCAATTTACTTGTAAATGAAATTACATGGTTAAACAGAATATGAAAAAAATAAGCGCCTGAAAACGGCATTGGAACAAATTGGCCTTGACTTTTACCTCTCCTGGAATTTCATTTCCCCGCGGAGAAACTCGATGAAGACATTAAAATTCATTGATGACCGTGATTAAAAATGAATAAGACGGTAACTCTTAACAAATCTGACGTTTTTTGTTGTACAACGAGAAACACAATCATTGTAATATGTACTAAAGAAAGAAAGAAAGAAAGAAAAACCATTTATTTTGCTACGACACACAAGAAGAATTTAGAAACACAAAAAAAGCCTACGATGCGTCGCAGCGCAAAATATATAATGTACATATTTATTTTAATTTAAATCATCATTGAATTAGTGGTTGCAAGTGCATCTGCTGAACAAAGGGTCTTTGATTTGATTCATGGTTATGGTTTAAAAATTAATCGTAATATTAGCATTCGGAGTTTGAAATTTTTGCCAAAGCAATATGGGGACGAGCCCAATTTTTGACGAACGCTACACATGTGCCTATATAATATTCAGGTATCCATATTTTGGCTGAAATCTTTGAGAAATCGAATACTATTTTACCCAACCTTAGATGACATCAAAGAAGTATCATTTTGTTCAGTCGCACTTGCCACCCAAACAAGAAAACATTCAAAATCAGCATTAATCTCCGTTTCAACTCATTAATCTTGTTTAGCAAACCCAAACTAATACCTAGCCTAGGTAATCTATTTTCATATTTACTATGGACGGAACTTATAACTGGATGGTTTAAAATTTACATAGTAACCGAGCCGAAACTCCTTCAAACTTGGAAGCAGTTTCGTGTTTAAATTTTCAAGTTTTCAATACCAAGGTACCTTCTTCGTCATAGTGAAAATTTATCGCTTTTAGTTAAACAGATTATCTTTTGATAATGGTGGAATAGAGCCGTTTTTGTGAACGGCAGATTAAAATATATTTGTCAGCACCTCTAGTATTCTCGTGGCTGTCATAAGACCTCGATCATTCTCCATCCCATGCCTAGTCCCAAAATCCCCAGTCCACAAATTGGGGACCCCCAAAAATCATTAACCTACTCGTAGCATCTTGTATTAGGAACGGGGCGGTTTTTAGTCCGTGAAAGTCTAACACTCCCCCTCGCCTCACCTAAACCGGGAGATGTCATTGGTTGATGTTCTCCCTTCAAAAAAATCGTTCAGTATTGCGCTTATCATTAGATGATCGATCATTCGCCACCCTACCTCATAAGTACTACTCAATACACATAAATAGAAACTGGGTATTTAAGTGCCGCTGATAAACTTGAACCTTTTATTTAGCAGATATCTACCCGTTTGTAGAGGGTGGAAATTATGGCAAACTCAAATATATGGAGGAGAGTCCTTGTAGAAGACTGTCCCAAACGCTAAATGTTGGTACAGATTATCACTATCTAAAAAATGTTTGAATAAAGATTTTTCTTATGCATTAAATTTTTCTCACGAGTTTTTCTAGAAGCAATGAAAAGTCAATTAGTAACTTTTTACTCTCGATTAATTCGGTCAATTTTGAGTTCGTAATCTGATTTTAAAGTGAAGTTTTAAACGGCTTTCTTTTATTAAATAATCGAGCATTTACATTCTTTGTGGTGCGTTGCTAGAAAGGTTTTTTAATGATAGGCAATTTCACCTTGTGACAGTCTGTTAGATATCAGGATAATTGTTTAATCTGCCGTTTATTTCAAAGTTGTTATTTGCCCTATCCTATTTTTTCTATAATTCTTATGTTTTAGCACTAGTTAGTAAGTTATTCATTATTTAGTGTATATCTATATATAGATTAGTTCATCGTTATACCTTATAAGTAATTATACCTTAAAAAAATTACATACTAAAAAAATCCAAGTTGTTTTAACATTATCATAACAAATTGTTTAATAAATCACCAATATCAATGTCATAAACAATTTAAACTCATTATATTATTATTTTTTTCAATTTATTCAATGTTTTTATTTTCTCAGTAGCGTACTAATTTTGTTTATTTCCATAGATCTCTTGATAATATCGCTATAGAAAGTTTAATCTAAACTTTTGTTGTGATCTTATTTTTTCCTAAACAAAATTTTTGTTGCAGTATTCTTCATCTGCTTCTTACCGTACCACGCGCTGGAGATGTGGTTCCATCTCTCACCGACGGCGCAAACAGATTACAACGATTGGATACACGCTTTAAGGATAATGGGTTTCTGTCTTAGGTAAGTAACTAAAAACTAAAATTTTAATATCTTATTCTTTCTTTGTATCCTCATCTTAATTTTACTATTCATTTTTGTGTTAGAAATCGTTTTTGAAACTGGATTGAATATGCCAATTAAAATAGTAATAAATGGAGTTTCTTGCTCGTTCTTCTCCATTCGAATCCACATTTTGGAACCAGCACCTAGCTTCACTGACGGACAGACTGACAGCCTATTATTTATTTTATATATGTTCACGATTTCAAAGTACAAAAATATGGTTTATTTGAAATAAATGCTTTGACACCATCTATTGTCTCGTTTGTGTCTTGTATTGTGGAAGAGCTTATGTATATGTTACAAAAAACGTTTGCTATAATCCTATATCAATGGCAATCCTCTAGTGCACTTTGTTTTAAATACATGACTTCTATGATATGAATAATATAGGCATGGTCTAGATGGTCACGCTGATACAATTTTATTATGACTACTTAGCGAACCACAGAGAGGTCAACCGCACTTACGCGTACAGTATGACACGTTCATTCGATACGAAATAATTCGTATTGTAACTTTCGTGAGACATACTAAATAAATTATTATGTTTTTGGCTTACTCACGTAATAATTTGAAGAGGAACTCGACAAGTTTCAAGCCATGCTACGCGCTGCTACTACTACCAGTAGCAGCGCGACAGTCGCCGCGTCGCGGGTCGCGAAATGCTGCTCATGAATATGAGCCTTTAGCATGGCTTGAAACTAGTCGAGCTCCTCGTCAAATTATTGTGTGAGTAAGCCGAAAACATAATAATTTACGAATTAATTCGTTTTGTTTTGTTTATTTAAAAAAAACACACTTGGGTTTTCTTCTATATTGTAGGTACTCAGATCCAAAAAAACGATTTATAGACCATTAATATTATTTCAGTCATCAAAAAAACAATGATTTTTAACTCCTGGTTCGAACATTTTGATCCATTTCCCAAATCAGTGTTCAAATTTTTACATTGTCTTTTCCACTTGGGAATAAAGTTGATGGAACGAATTTAATCACTCCAATTATTTTGAGGGAGAAAGTTGGAAATTGACAGCGATTTTAAGGAGTTCAGAAAATATTTCGTAAGTATAATTAAGTTCAATTAGAAGTTCTGTTTTCATAAAATTAATTACTTATCTAATTCTCGATAGAAATTGACTTTTATTGATAGAAGTGACGACAAAATAATAACAATTAGTTGAAAATTTAAAGCAATTATAATTAATTTGGATCCAATTCTTTGTTTTAAAATAGTTAATATCATAACAGGCCTTTTTATTCCCGAAGGGGTAGGCATAATTGCACATTTCGGTACTTAATGCCACTGTACAATGTAACACCCACTTTTCACTATTTATGTTATGAGTCCCATGTAATAGGGGGTGAGCTTATTGCCATATACCGGGCACATTTCCAGACTCCGTGCTATTACTGAGATTTTTAAATACAATAATACTTCGCCCGACCCGGGAATCGAACCCGAGACCCCTTGCCCGGCAGTCGCACCTGCGACCACTCGGCCAACGAAGCCGTCTTTACTTATTAAACTGTCAAATACCGAGCGGTCACCGGTGACCGCAACCTATTGTTCTTTAATTGTGTCTATAATGACGGTACTCAACTAGTAAATTAGTTAATACTGGTAAATAAATAATGCTGGAAGTTCATAGATACAAAGATACACTAAACGACTTTAAAATTATCAATTAATAGTCCACCAGCACAAACTATCGTTTAGGTGTAGTTTTAACAAAAACTACGAAACATTACCTATGTCTAACTCAACTTTCCTTCACATGACAATATTATAAAACTTAAGAAGTTCCTTTTAAAATCTCATATTTACCTCAACCCATTCATTCAGAAGACTGGGACAAGTCAATAGGAGACAGCAAACTTGAATATTTACAATCCTCGTTCACTTGAAGAGACAAAGAGTCCGAGACTCTCGACTGCTCTTGGCAAAGATTAGGTGCGCGGTCACACTTGATATATGAATGACCGGTGTTATTTATGGGGCAGGTCAAACAGTTTGAATAATATCACTTTCCTAGCAAGATCATAAAATTTAATATATATATATGAGCATGCATATATATACCTATATATTTATGTTGTAGTGTAAGCATTTTAAATATATTTTTGCACCTATCTATATTTATAAAGTCTATTTATGTTATTTTTTTCTTACAATTACACATGCCTATTTTTTCGCCGATTTCCAATTAAACTCTAAGGTTGACTGGGAGAGAATGCCATATGGCATTAATGTTCGCCTTATGTACCATTACTTGTTTCTGTGTACATTAAAGTTTAAATAAATAAAAGGTCAATAGCCATGTTGAGTTGGCAGTTCTCTGGATATTAAATTCTGTTAGTACAGTAGCCAGCAGGTCCATCTACTCCTTTGCGTCTTTGTTTGATTTTTAACTTTATTGTTTTGATATAAAGTCGAAAAATTTTGACAGATTGATGTGGCTTGAGCTACTGGTCAGTCTGCAATACGCTACGTTTTCCAATAAAGTGTAGCTTTTATAAAATGGTTTAGTTTTTTTAGCCTTGTAGGTATAGTGTTTGGGTGATTGATTGGGAAGCTATTTTGTAAATGGTTAGTTTATAGTGCAAGAGTTTTAATTTGTAGTTTGTCTTTTATACACAAATATAAAGTTTTAGCTCGCTATTAACAAAGTTAAGTTTAGATATAAACTGAAAACTGAGATATTAAACAAACTAAAATTATTTTTGTTTAACAGAAGTTTTTATGAAAACTAAATACACATAATCAAACTGTATGACAAAGGCACGGACCGAGAGTCCGTGGAGAATTAATATGTAGAATTATAAAAAAAAAAACATAATCATGGGATAGAATAGTTTTTTTATTCAATGCACATAACTAATATGGTATTTCGTTTAGAAAAAAATGTTTTTGAATACATGACTGATACTGGTTTAAAACAAACGATAACTGTTTATCCTACTAATCCTACTTCCTTACTAATATTATAGATCGGAAAGTGAGTTTGTTTGTTTGTTCCGCTTTCACGCCGTAACTACTAAACCGATTGCTTTGAATTTTTGCAGACGTAAATCAAGAAGTCTGAATTAAATAATAGGGTACTTTTATCCCGGAAAAATTTTATATTCTAGAGGGAAAACGAAATTATTGGTATAGATGGCGCTGTGTGTATTGATATATGTCACATAGGCTACTTTTTATCCTTTTGTGACGCGAGCGAAGCCGCGGGTAAAAGCTAGTAATGTATTAGATTACTTTTTCATCATCATCAGCCCGCATTCATCCACTGCTGGACATAGGCCTCTCCTATGGCACCCCACTGAGCTCGGTCTTCAGCTCTTCTCATCCAACCACTGCCAGCCACCTTGCGGATGTCGTCACTCCACCTAGCTGGAGGGCGCCCTACACTGCGTTGGCCTAGACGCGGTCTCCACTCTAGAACGAGCGAGCTATGGAGTGGGCTATGCTCGGAGTCTCTCTGAAGGATCGAATCCGAAACGAAGTGATCCGACAGAGAACCAAAGTTATCGACATAGCCCAAAGGATCAGTAAGCTGAAGTGGCAGTGGGCCGGTCACATTTGTCGAAGAACCGATAACCGTTGGGGTAAACGTGTTCTAGAGTGGAGATTACTTTTTACCCTAAGGGAAATGCGAGCGAATCCGCTAGCAGAGCAGCTTCTAAGTATAAATACACCTAAGTATTGATTTCACCAATAACTCCAGAAAATCTAACCACCCATCTTTTCCAGCTTCCTCAACTCCTGCGTGAATCCAGTGGCACTGTACTGCGTCAGTGGAGTCTTCAGGTCTCACTTCAACCGCTACCTCTGCTGCCGACGGGGGACCCTTCATCCGACCTGCAGCTCCCGGTTGTCCAGGACTGCTGTCTGCGAAACCTCATTCAGGAGCACTCATCGACACCGCTGCAATAGGTTGGGTTAACAAGGGTTTTAGTTATTTAGGAAAAAATATAATGGATGTGAAAAATTTTAAGATTTTAGTTAGGTAAATACAGTGACGCTTGTTGTCAGTTACTGGTGGACTTTATCAGTGGGCTGGTCTAATGGTAACTTGTGTAATTTGTTTAAATTAATTTCTTATAATATGTTCGACAATTTCATGGTTAAGGTCCATTAAGTCAATTATTTTTTTTTTTTTAAGAAAAAACATTGCCCCGCACTAGGATTATCTCCTGTGTCGTGGGTGCGTTTACAAACATACAATTTCACATACACATAACACCCAGACCCGAAACAACAATTTGTGGATCACACAAAGTGTTGTTCCGTGCGAGAATCGAACCCGCGACACGTTGCACGGCAGCCGGTTGCCCAACCACCGCACCAATCGTGCAGTCATTATTTGTATATAAAAGTTTTTTTTAACATTACCCCACACTAGGATTGTCTGTTATATCGTGGGTGTATTTACAAACATACCAGTTCACATTCACCAGAACCGATATAGCAATTTGTGAATTCAATCGCGTTGCGCAGCCACCGCGCTAACCGTGCAATCTTTGCATAAAATTGTGAAAAGAAGTAGTACCTACTTTCATGAATGCTTAAAATTGTGCTTTGTTAGTACTCTTATCTACTTATCACCACTAAACCAAAGAGTTGTCACAAATCTATACGGGTGACGAACGTGATTTGAGTCTTAAACTTCAGTTCTTTAGGTTTATTATATAACGAACAAAGACTTCTAGATTAGAAAGAAAACCATTCACATTTGCCTTTGTTAAGCTGTGTTTCGTTGCTCTGAAAATCTGAAGGATTTTCCTTTCAAATTCTTTGCTAACCTTTCATTCCATTCAATCATCATTTTATTTTGAATCTAATCTAACAAAGGCGTGATCCATCCTTGGTCACGTTATAGCCTTAGCACCAGGCAAGATGGTGGCACAGCGTCAACCTATCAAGTATATAAAAAAGTCAGAAGAGTCACTACAAGCTTTTTTTAGACAAAGCATTCCTATAATATTTAAAGTGTTGATTTTGATTTACTTCCAAAAGTCGTGTAAATATCAACAGTACATTGTTTTGTTCTAAAAGTTAAATAATACCAAAACAAAGGCATTTTGCCTAGCCAAAAATATGAAACTAAGACTGAATCCTGGGCAGCTGAGCTTACAATCCCTCGATTAACGAAACTCACTCAACTGAATTGTTCACGCAACTTTGAACCTTAACACGGACACCACAGAACGCCATAAAACCACCTAGTACTGATCGGAATTCGTTTGATAGTCCGAATAACTTAATACTAGTGGATTACTATCGCAGTAAACTGCTCGATTTCATTCATTTTACGTGATGAAATACTTTCGCTCACGATTCATGGATCTGAATGAATGAAATGAGCGAATTTGCTGTAATTCGTTCTTTGAATGAAATTCTATATGAAGCGTATAAAGAAACTTGATAAGTATTTAGATTGTGATACCAGTTTTTGAGTCTGGATATTAGGTGTCTAATTAGGTCTCTGTTTATTGTCAAGTAATGATAGTAATTTTTTATATTATTAATTTAGAATCTTGGTATGGGAAATATACCAAAGAATATCTTTGCCACGATGGAATCACCTTATATTGACTATTATCACTACCTTAAAATGCTATTTAGTTAATAAACTGGCTCCAGAAATGTCTCTGAAAACACATGAACCTTTCTTAGTAAGCAATGACTATTATAGTCGTTCATGTGCAATATTCGTTTAGGATCCACACAAACACGTCAGTCATAAGTCAATTCCAAAAACACACATTTTGATTGATATCTACTACGATTGGAAGATGGAACTTTGATCACACACACTACGTAACCTCTCTGAAATGGATGTGCGTATGTGAGTGATCGACGACATGACATTGATAGCACTGACAATACAACATGTGCGGCAACCCTTTATAGAATCAGCTTTAGTTTATAATCTGAATTTAGACTTGTAGATTTAGTTTGCAAACTATCCATTAGTAGCTTCTGCCTGCGACTTCACCCACATTCATCATCATCATCATCATCATCAACGACCTATAACACCAACGGTCAGCCACTGCTGACCAAAGGCACCATAATATTATCATACAGTATTCCAACTTCTTACAAACTGACGAGCCTCGATCGTGGCATGCATTCGGCATGATAATAACAGTCGTGACTGTGCCGCAGTGACGAACGGGCTGTGTGTCGTTTTTTTAACATTAATCTAAATATTTTCGGTCTCAAATTTATAACCCCCATTTGATTTTCAAACAATAACATGTTTTTTAAAATTAAGTCTGCCAATCAAAAAGCTACACGCATTTTTATTGAACACTTCCTATTCCATATACGAAGTATTTTATTTGATTGTGTAAAAATAATCTGTTCATTTGTCGCTATCTCGTCTAACACCACTACACTACACAAAAAACACCATTACATGACATATCCCATATTGACACAGACAAACTTGAAAGATACACAACGGTTCAGTTTCTGGGTTCTCGGTAGGTTTTCTACCCGCATTTCTTTATCTAAGATGTGGGTGGGTAAAGAGTCAAGAGTAACTAACAATTGAATATCAAGATTTGAACTTACATGGAGAAAGCCATGCTTCGCCATAATAGGGTCTTGTAACTTCTCTTATACTGTCGATGTTCACTGCGTGATCGATCTAATTCCATCGCAAATGAAATCATTATTATAAGCCAAGAAAAGTGTAATGGCGAACATTTTATACTAAACCTAAACAGATAAATAAAATTGGAGTGTCTGTTTCTAATATTAAAATTACTGCTTTTTACTACACGCATATATACATAAAAAATGATGTGTATCGTAACACATACCAAAATACCATTTTTTATAATTTTTGTCTGTTTGTTGTATGTTTGGACTGGCTAATCTCTGGAATGGCTAGACCGATTTTGCAAGACTTTTATTGGGAGGTAGCTGATGTATTAACGAGTAACATAGGCTACTTTTATTTTGGAAAATTGAAACAAAAAACAAATTATATTCTAAAATGAATATTCTACGCGGACAAACGCTAGTTCTCGCGAGTAAAAGAAATTGGTACATGTTAGGAAACCGTCGACTTTAAACATTACAGAATATAATGTAACATGAGCATAAAATATGTTAATAAGCTCATCCTAAGATGCTATAACACATCTTGGCACAAAGGCAAGGCAAGACACCACTAGCAAAACAATAACATCATACCCCGCTATCCAAACCACAACAATCCCAACAAATCCTACAACTCCAACGGTAATTGTTCTATCTTTTACAGGAACCCGACAGAGAGCGTTGTGATATCAAACTACGATTATGGAAGCTCTAAGAAGAAGAGCAACATCATATCCAGAAACAGTGCTGATGGTGTAACCATAATGACCATCAGGGACACCAATGACTTCCTTACTGGAGACCTCGATGAGAAATGCATCACCAGATAGGGAATATGGGACCTTCGGCGATATAAAAGACATTGAATGTTATAATTTTTATTTTTTGATGTTTACATATTATAACTATGTGATTAATGTTAGCGCTTCATTTGTTGTTTAATCTGTGTCTGTGTTTTGGGGAGCAATGATAAAGATGGCGGATTTTCGTGTACACAACTCTTGATAAAGAATTCTGTAGAATGTAGACAACTCTGTTTTCTCTGTTCCAAAAATTGGTTAAATAATTTTAATGTTGTATTTTCAAAATCAATATTATTACTGGCAGTTATTGTGTTTTGTTTTTCCATAATAAAGTAGACACAGTACATTGCTCCTTTTTTAAACTAATAAATAGATCTTTTGTATACGACCAGAACAATGAAAGTCTTCTTAGAAGTGCAGTCTACGTATCTTCATAAATGTAAGACAAGTTAGAATTTAAGATTATGTGTAAGGACATAAGTATATGTTTTAAAATGTTTTCATGCATTTAATGTGAATAATGCTATTTTTGTATCTTTGTTTTGGACACTGCTTGTATCATATGCAAGTCTTCAAATACATAGATAAGCGTGCAATATATCTACGTAAAATTTGAATATCTTTTAAAGTTCGCTTCCAAAAACAGAAATGTCTTATTGTTTTTTATGTAAGTAGATAAGTCATAGCACCAATGTTTATTTGCAATTAATTTAATATTAATCCATGACATTAATGCACATAAAATGTACCCAATTATTTTATTTATAATAACGGAATTTGCTTGAGAGATTATTTAAAACTGCATTTTTGTATTTTGCACTGCATTAATGCAGTGAATAATACAGCACATTATACACTTGAGTGCACATTCGAAGCTAAGTTTGGTTTAACCCTAGACTAGCTAAATGTCCATAAGTTTAGATCTATCTGAGCTCTCGACTGCATAAGCGGTAAAGCCTGTAGTTAAATACAATGGATGAAATAAATATCTTGGTAAATCCACTGTATACCGTTTCAATATGGTTTAAAGTAAATAGAATGGGACCTAAGCCTTTGGAAGTGTTTAATCAATGGCCGATTGGGACATTTTCTTCAAGTAACATTCAAAAACAAAAGAAGATTCGTATTGATTATAAATATGTTTTATTTTGAAATAGTGAAGTTTTGAAGGTGTGATCTACGTTTAGTTTTACGAACACAGAAAACAATTTTATATTCTAAATTAGATTTTTGTTTTAAACACAGTTACGTAGGTTTTAATACTGATTGTTTTACATTTGGCTGAGTCTAATCAAGTTTATGAATTGTTCGATTTTTTTTTAAATTTCAAGCAAATTCCAGTACGTATAATATGAAAAATCATTAGTGACGTAAATGTATTTTAAGTATACTTAAATAAAACATATTTCAATTTTGTAAAATATAATATGATATTAGGTTTAAAAGACCAAAGAAAATTATTTATATATTTTAATATATATCATAAATTAAGGACAGTTAGATATATATTCAATGTAAAATAAATGTGAAATTAATGTAAATAATAATAAAATTAGATGGCTTTTATATAAATTAAGATATATTCCAAAGATTTGTACCAATTTTAAGATATAAGCGAAAAAAGATGTTCTACTTATATTATATAGTATCACACTGTATCATATTATTTTAAAATAAATAGACGTCTATAAAGTTTGGTTTTATTTATTAATTTTACACTTATAGGTTAGTGACGTCATGACCCGGTGCCTCCACTCAGGTGTTGAGGGTGGTCACCGGGGTGGTTTTAATAATAATAATAATAATAAAAACGATCCAACATATAACAGGGGCATGCTCAAAACGATCCAACATATAACAGGGGCATGCTCATCCATCACACAAACAGACTACAAACACCGACACGACCAGGTTGCAGCTATCATACACCAAGCACTCGCATTCAAACACAAACTCATAGCAGAGAAAACTCCATACTACAAGTACACACCCCAAATCATCCTAGATTCACCCGATTTTAAAATGTATTGGGACAGAACCATACTAACCGACAAAACCATACATCACAACAGACCTGACATTACACTTTACGACAAGAAAAACAAAATAGTGTATCTAATAGATATAGCCATACCTAACACCCATAACCTAAGTTCGACTCACACTAACAAACTCTCTAAATATACAGACTTGACCATTGAGCTCAAAACTCAGTGGCAAGTTCACACAGTTAAGACCATTCCTATTATTATATCTAGCACAGGCGTCATCCCCAAAACATTACACACAAGTCTAAAGACCCTCGATTTACATCCCCTCACATTCACACTCCTACAGAAAGCAGTTATACTCAACACATGCAGAATAGTCCGAAAATTCTTATCAATAGATTAGATTAGATCATCACAAGTATCACCCCCAAAGTTGCTTTGACCAAAAGTCCGCAACTATGGTGTAGTTCCCCAGAAATGGGTGAGGTTTTAACCTAAAATACAAGTATAATAATAATAGCCTTTATTTCCGATATTCCAGTGATTACAGTTATTCCAGTTATTACAGTTATTACAGTTATGAATATCATTACAGTCTTACATATTTGATTAAATGTTTACTTTATTAAATGATATCCCTAAGCTCGGTGTGCCTCTTGGCATAGGCCTCCTCCAACTCCTTCCATTGCGCCCTGTCTTGTGGAACTCTACTCCAGTATGGCCCCAAAGTCAGACAGATGTCATCTTTCCATCGGGTTTTTGGACGGCCCTGCCTCCGTTTACTGTCCCTTGGATACCACAGAGTGACTTGTTTGCTCCATTTATCTTGCTTGCACCTCAGCATGTGACCCGTCCAGCTCCATTTGAGATGGTCTATTCGTGTCAGTATGTCTACCAGCTTAGTTCTCGATCTTATTTCTGAATTTCTTATTTTGTCACTTAACCTGATCTGGAGCGTACTTCTTTCCATTGCCCTTTGACAGGATGCCAGTCTTTCTCTATGGTTATCTGTTAAGGCCCAAGTTTCGCACCCATATGTCAAGCAGGGGAGGATACATGTGTTGAAAGTCTTTCGTTTTATATGCATGCTTATGTCTTTGTTTTTCATTATTTCTTTCAACGACCAGTATTTATTCCAACCACTAGCAATTCTTTTGTTTACTTCCTTGGACATTGAGTTTTCCGGTGTTATTATTTGTCCCAGGTAAACATATTCCTTAACATACTCAAGACTGTTTCCATAAACTTTTATGGTGACTTCTGTGGAGTTAGTCATTAACTTGGTTTTAGTTGCATTCATTTCTAGCCCTGCTTTTCTGCTTTCGTTTGCTAAGATGTTTATCATTCGTTCTAGTTTTTGTGGATCTTCTTCTAGCAAGATGATATCATCTGCGAATCTTAAATGGTTTAGTCTACGACCGTTAATGTTTAACCCCATATCATTCCAATTAAATTTCCGGAAGATGTGTTCCAGCACTGCATTAAACAGTTTGGGTGATAGTGGGTCCCCTTGTCTCACTCCTCTTTCTATAGGGAATGACTCTCCTGTTGATTCTAGTTTTATGCGACCTTTGCTGTTACTGTAGATGGATTTTATTAGTTTATGTAGGTATTTTCGACTCCTTGTTCTTTTAAACTTAACCAGATGTATTTATGATTTATACTATCGAAAGCCTTTGAATAATCAATGAAAGATATGTATACAGCTTTTTGTTGTACTCGTGGTATTTTTCTACAATTTGTTTAATAGTGTGGATGTGATCAATAGTGCTGTAGTTTCTTCTGAAACCTGCTTGTTCGATTGGTTGGTTATCGTCTAGAGTTTGCGTTATTCTTTGCAATATTATCTTTGCGAAGATTTTATATAAGTTTGATATAAGGCTTATAGGTCTGTAGTTACCGATGTTGTCCTTGTCCCCTTTTTTATACAGCAATACGATGTGGGATTCATCCCATTGTTTTGGGATGGTGCATGTGTTTAGAATGTCGTTGAAGAGCTTGGTAAGTATTGGGCCTAGTTCCTCCATTGTGCCTCTCATTAATTCGTTTGGTATACGGTCAGGTCCTGGAGATTTTTCTAGTTTTTGAGACAAGATAGCTTTCTCCACTTCCTGTTTAAGTATTCGTGGGACCATGTCGAGTTCTGTGTGTTCTGTTTTAGTGTTTATACTGTTATTGTCCTCTTCGACATTTTTATTTGAGTAGAGACTTCTATAGTACTCTGTTGCAATTTCTTGAATCTCTTTGCGGTTCGTTGTTTGTCTGGATTTCCCATTTTTTAGTTTTGGTATCCATTCTTTTCCATGCTCTCTCAATTCCTTTAGTGCTTTTTTTGTTCCACCTGTTTTTTCTATTTCCTTTTCCATCACTTTCCTTCTTCTTGTTTTTCTGTCTTTTCTTATATTTTCTCTAATTTCTTTGCTTATTATAGACAATTTCTTACGATATTCCTTACTCGGTAACATTTTATTTTCAATTAAGTTTTTTCTGTCTTGTAATAGTTTCGACGTTTTTGCACTGAATTTTGCTTTTGACACCAGCTTTCCTTTTGTTGCTTGTGATAGGTGTTTTTCTAGATTATCATATTTCTCGAGAACACTGATGTCTGAGTTAATTATTTCTAGCAGAGGTTTTATGGACGAGGTATCGATATTTCTACCATATTCTTCTGGCAGCAGCAGCTTGCTTGACAAGTTAGGTCTAGATTTTTTGTTAGGATGTTTCCTCAAACAGCTACGTACCATTCGATGGTTTGTATTGAAGTTTAATGTTTGTATCACATTTGTATCATTGAAGAGCATTGGCTTGTTTGTTATTAATAATAATAATAATAAGCCCGCAGGGCACCTTGAGGCGAGGTGACGGGCATTAGCGATCCCGCGGGCTACCATCATCCCGAGTGCTCCAGGGAGAGGTCACCGTTCCTTCTTCTCCGGCTTGCCTTAATTGGATGGCTGGAGTGAACGATGACAAGGAACAGGTCTCCCACCTCTGGCTTGCCTTCATTGGCCGTCCAGAGTGGAGTCGCGAGAGCAGTGATCCTGCTCGGAGGGTAAGAAACTATTCGTAAGTCGCGAGTGGGCCAGGGATGCAGGAGGCTTCGGCTGGAGCAGATGATCTGAGTAGAAAGCGGTGGTAGTTTCTTAACCCTTCAGCCACTCACATTCTCGTTGCCCCTCTGTTGCTATATCTAGCAACCATTCCCGGGGCCCGGT